GTGTGTGTGTGTGTGTGTGTGTGTGTGTGTGTGTGTGTGTGTGTGTGAGAGAGAGAGAGAGAGAGAGAGATACTCACTAATATCCAGTAGAACTAATGTTAGAGAAACTTGTCAAAAGCCTGCAGCCTCACATTGCTAGTAATTCCCCAATTAGTGTCATGTGCCTTTGCATTTAAACATCCCACTGCATTACTCTACCACATATCTCCCCCCAACCCTTGTCTGGCCAGCTCCTTAGAGGAGGTATTTCAAAATTATATGCTTATTGAACAAATACATGGGATGGAACAGAAATATGTTGTAGAAACCTTAGAAGTGTTGCTAGGTCCTACTACCATGAAGATATAATCTGTTATTTCAACACTTTTTTACATATAATGGTTCTCTCTGTATATTGATCTCTTCTTAATGGAGTATCTTCATATTTTCTTCTTTGATATTGTGAAAGTATAATGTACATCTTATCAGCTTGTCTGTACAAGCTTTTTGTATTGAAATATCCTTTATAAATATGATGACTAGAAGGTTTTTCAGCTGATCCTACACCCTGGTGACTTTCTACTTTTAAAAATTTCTCTCCCCATTATACTTTCACAGTCTTTCTTTCATATCTCTTTCCTCAATTATCTATTTACAATAATTTTTAGACACTATAATAACAATGACCATATTAAGATTGACATACTAAGTCATAGCTTTATAAACCTATTGTATTTTATTTGTTATTAATGAGGTTAATATATATTATACTTTTATATAATATAAATATATTTTATTAAATTTTTCTTGTGATACATATTAATTCATAGGGGTTTTAGTAAATATTAATACACTTATTACTAGCTTTCAGAATTTCTACTGCCATTATCTTAATTTTTCCAACCACAATTTCAAATGCCCCAATAGACTTCTTAACTATTCATAAAGTGTTACTTAGAAAAACTGAGTTCCTAAACAGTCAAGTATTCTTATATAATGGTTGTACTACATGTTTCAAACATGCAGTTTATTCAAATGCACTAGTAAAATACATAAAGCATGATTTATGCTACTGATATGTGGTACGTAAAAACTTCATGACTCAGCATCAGGTTTGGTTTATTCTGATGCAGCATACAGAATTTTATGCAAAAATCATTACCAACTGTAATCCTCTGATGTCATAAAAAAGTAATCTGTGACAACTAAGGGACTTTGGAATTAATGTATATTCAACTACTTTGGTCTCTGCCATTTCCCAGATCACTCTTTGCAGAATGATGATAAGTGACTCTGGTGTTAGACATGTCATCAGTAGTCATTTATTTTTATTTATTCACATTACTTGAAACGTTAGGCATATAGTTTGGCTATATACACATCAAGATGATTAATGATAGTATTCTCATATAGTCCACCGTTGCCATCAGAACTAATTTTACTTACAATCTTCACAACTCACCAGGTTCTCTGGCTTTCTAACTACATCATAGAGAAGGAAATCTATTGAGCTTAATGTAATGAATAAATAATTATGTTATTGTGACCATAATAAATTCTTGTTCGTAAAAGAAAGATAAATTTCAATAGAAAATGTAATTTAATAATAGGCAAAGTGAGACATTTGTAAGCCTTTTTTGCTGCCTTTTTCTTATTAAAGATCTTCTGATGTGCCTTGGTGTACCTAAGGAATTAAAAGAGGAAGGCTGCCAGAGTTTCAAGTGGTTCTCAGGGACCAGATATATAAGATTCTTAAGATCCTTTGGAGACTGCTTATAGTTCATTCTGCCAATTTGAAGTAATTTGTCCTAGCCACTAATTTTTTGACTATTTTAGCTCTTCGACTTTTAGTATCTGTTAAATTTTGAGCTTAAAGGTAAATCAACAGCATTTGGAAGCACCCTAGGAAAATTAAAGTCCCTCAAGGTGCATTATAGTCTGTGTATGAGGTCTCTAACAGTAAGTGGATTTAATACAGGGTTATATTTTAACTTAAGTGAGAATATAATAGTGTGATGACTCATCCAAATCTGGTTACCTGTCTTGGGCAGCATTAGACAATAGGCACACAACCATGCAGCAGAGGGTGGCTGTTCTTTGGAAAAGACATGGTAGTTGGATAGGGCAAAAGATTGGCTCAAGTAAAATCGAATCCACCTTTTGTATGAGAGCCCATAAATTTCCTGAGCTACACATTGGAGCTTTCAGGTATCCTGGATATATAAGATTATAAATAATTTAGCAAAAACAAGGAAACAGTATGCTTCCCACTGAGTCATATACTTGAGTGAAAATTGTCTTGTCTTTATCTTTTTTGCCTAATTTAAAAAAGTACATGTGAAAGAAGTGTTATAAGAAGAATGCCCACCAAACAAAGTGACCAGAATAATTTATTTGTGTGTTCAAAGGAATTGTGTTTGTTGAATATGAAGTTTAGATGTTAAACATTCAACATTGTTATTATACTCTGTTAATCTCACTGTAAATTTAGATCATTGAGGCAACACTCTTCCTAGAGGTGAGAGTGGAGAATTCATTCAGTATGGTAAATCAAGAAGGATTCCAATATGATTTAAATACACATACATGCACAAAAAAGAAAGATAGACTTAGGAAGTTTTTGTTAACTATATACATTTGTGAGTGGAATGAGAGAGTTCCAGACCATTCACGCAACTTGTATATGCTGTCGTATTTAACAGTACTGGCTTTGTAACCAGGCAGTCTTGCTTGAGTTCAGCCCACTTTACTACCAGTGTGACTATGGACAAAATATTTAGGCAGGACAAATTTTATATACAACACACACACACACCTCATTGTACAAACAGAATTCAACCTTTTGCCTTGGAAGAAGCCACATTAAAGGGATAATTTCTACAATAATAATTCCTAAGGTCATGAACTGCAATAGAGGAAGAGAAACCTCCATTCCAGAACCAAAGTATTTAGGAGTTCAAGCCTGGCCATTGTGACTTTACCCTATGGGATGCATTCAATGAAGAGAGGAAACCTGAATTTAATAGCTTTGGCCAGCATGATCTGAGAGTTGTTCCATTACCCCTTTTCTCTAATCCTCCTGTTTGACAGTGACATCTAACTAAAGTCATACCATTTAACCTTTTCTTTTGCATGTTGCGTGATCTTGTGAGCAGAGTAAGAAACGGGACATTCCTCGGGAAGATCAGGGACCAACCACCAAGAATTTGGATTTTTGGCCCCAACTTATTACACTGATGGTCACGATTATTGATGAGGATAAAACTGCCTACACTCCTGTCCTGAATCAGTAAGTACGCTGTTTTGGTAATAAATGGATTTTATTCCACTAAACTTAAGAAAACAAAATATTTGAAGTATGGCTTATACTCTCATGACAATGACAAACTTTTCCAAAATCAAGCTATAGAAAGCAGTATATTTTTACTTTTATCAGTAAATATTAATTCAGTGATATTATGAATTTTTAGTTTCAGCCTCATACAGAGTGATTATTTGGATATGGAGACAAATATTTCCCACAAATTTATCTTTAGTTGATGTAGAAAAATTTCTTCTTTCCACTGGTTTGTTTCATTGTCTTAAAATAAAAAAAAATGCAATCCCCCAAAACTAAAAAGAATGTTAAAGAGCATTAACGTATTCCACCGTGACTTTATTAATAGTAAGGATTTTTCAAAAAAACTTGATTTCAAAATAGTTGTGTATGCTAGATGTAACAAATTTAATGCAGTATTTAAGAGAACAAGTCCATTTTCTCAAATAACCTAAGCCTATGCCTCCATGCATAGAATTTATAAATTATGAGCAGGTTAGCAAGGCAGATGAATTAAAATTCGTGGCTGTTCTAGAAGACTCTGAAATCATCAACTTATCAACTTAACACTAGCTATGAGACCTTGGGCAAATTATCTAATTTCCCTGGGTCTCAGTTTCCTCATATATAAAATAAGGATATATTACCAGATAATTTCCAAGATCCAGTCCACCTTTAATGTTGCACATTTAGGATTTATTTCACACCCACACGTCGAGAGCTATACAACCAAAATAACAGCTGACTCTGCCCGCAGGGCATTTGCAATCTGGTAATGGAGAGAATATCCTGACATATTGGTCATACCTGAAAACCTGTGGGCAGCAGGAATAGCAAAAGTAGACAGACCATGATGTACATTCAGGCTTAATATGGAGAACTGGTTTTATTATTTCTAATTTTTTGTACTGGTCAAGACAGTTAGGGTCAAAAAGCTTGTGTGGAATACAATTGAAATTCCAATTATAGAAGAAATACCTGTAAGTATTCCAATTTTTATCCTTTCCTGTTTCTTCACCACCCATTTTCACCTGCCCTGAATTTCTTCTAAATGTGGAGAAAGTATTCCTCTCTTTGATAGGCAATGACAGCATCATTAGGTTTACCTTTACACTTTCTTCTTCCTTTTCCCCTTATATCCACCTTTTCTGCCTGATGCCAGAGTGTATCATGATGACCATCTGTAGAGACTTTCTCTTATTCTTTTCTGATAGCTCAGGACTAGATCCTCTCTTTTAACATATGGCATGTCCTCAGTTCCTCCTGGACAGCTTTGTGGGCTAGATATGTTTTCTCATTCATTCTTTGGATCTTTCTTGAAGATACAGTAGATTTCCTAAAGGTAGGGACATCAATAACTTGTTTTAAGACTGTGCCCTCGGCCTGGGGTAGGTCAGTTGATTAATGAGAATGGAATGAAAACAAACATCTGCTGAGAAATGCTAATTAAAGGTTATTAGAAAGGATTTTATTTTCAATCAAATGAATTCTTTACATTTACCAAATATTCAGGATATGACTATTAAAAGATAACATTATAAAATCATGGAATCAAAGTTCCCCAGAATCATCCTTAATCATATACCATTAAAGATATACAAAGATTTTAGTTACTTTTTTGTGACTGTGTTAAAGGAAGTGGAGGGAATGCATTTACTTATGGCAAAAATAAATTTTAAATTATGAGCTAAATTAAGTCTACTAAGTATAAAAATGAGCAAGGACACAAGGAAAGAAGAGAAGTGTCTTTGTCTTGCTTTTTATTTTTGTTTATAGTGTCAGTTTGGAGTCACTTTTGTTCCAATGAAAACCTAGTTCTAATAAAGCTGAACGCTTTCCCTCTGTTGGGAATCTATGCTTTATGATTGTATTTGCTCAGATTTTGAAGATGTTCTAAAGATTTTTTGCTTACTAAGGATCATTGCATTTTGTTTCTCATTTAATTAAATCTATATTTTAAGTGAACTCACCTAGATAGCAAGGTGTGCTCTTAGTGGCCAATGTTGCATTTGTGTAATTTGGTGAGATTTCCATTCATGCATGTTTCTTTATTTGTGCAATGTGTCATCACATTTAGGCATCACTAATTATCTCACTGGGTAGTTAGACTATTAGGATCAAATAGGCTGATAGTTGCGAATGCAGATTCTGAGCTCCATCCCAAATCTACAGAGTTAAAATCTGAATTTGGCACAGAAGTCTGCATTATTAATAAAATATCCCTTGTGTGGTTTGTATACACCAGAGTATGAAGGCACAGGTCAGTTTGTGAAGGACATGTCCAGCTAAAACAAGTTTTGGTTTTTATTTTGAAGGTAATGGCAAGAGAACGGATGATTTAAAAAGATAGGTCTTATTTTTATATCTTTCTTGTTTTTAATATCTAAGATTATTGATATAAATAATTGAATGAAGTATTCATGGTTATTTTGACTTAAAAAATATTGCAAGCTTTTGCTTATTCAAGTTTGATAACAGTTTATAATAGTCGCAGAAAGTAAACATGAGGGGAAGGATTTGTTTTATTTTGTACACCAGTATGTATCCAGGCATACATATTGGTTGAATTAATGAATACATTAAAGTAAATCCATATGTGTAATTGGTATCTGTTCTCTCTGTTCCTACTCCATTGATTAACTGATGTACTAGAGTATTTCCTTGAGTGATACATCTTCACATTTTAAAGATTAATTTTATGAAGTGGCTTTCCAGGTGTTTCTATTTCATTGAAACTGAAAACTATTAAGCACAGTATTTTCAGATCTTTCAATGTGGGTCTCTCTCTCCCTTTTAAATAGATGTATTGAGGTATAACTGAATACAGTTAAAAATTTGATTAGTTTTGACATATGCATCTAACCATGAAACCATCACCACAATCAAGATAATAAAGATATCTGTAACCCCAATAAGTTTCTGTGTGCCTTATGCAACCCACCCCAGGCAACCAATGGTCTGCTTTCTAATACTACAAATTAGTTAGAAATTTTTATCCTTTTGTATAAAGGAATAATATATTATGTACATTTCTTTGTCTAATTTCTTTCACTAATTACAACTATTTTGAGATTCATCCAGGTGGTTGTGGGTATCAGTACTTCATCTCCTTTTATTTCTGAGTAATATTCTACTATATAGATACACCACAAAATGTTTATCCATTCATCTCTTAGGATTAGGGTTAAGGTTAGGGGGTAAATTTGGATTTTTTTTCAAGATTAGGTTTCTGTGAATATTTGTTGGCAAGATTTTGTGTAGACATATTCTTTTATTTTCCTTGGGTCATGTAATATGTACATGTTTAATATTTCTTAAAACTGCCAAACCACTTTCCAAAGTGTTTGTATATTTCCAACACTTAGTACAATTAGACTTTTTACTTTTAGCCATTCAAATAAGTGTAGTGTTATCTCCTTGTGGTTTTAATTTGCACTTTCCTAAGTACTGATATTGACCATCTTTTCATCTGCTTATTTGCAATACATATATCTTCTTTGGTGAAATGTCTGTTCAAATCTTTTTGCCATTTCCAAATTGAGATGTTTATCTTCTTATTAATGAGTTGTAATGGCTCTTTAATTATACTAAATAAAGGTCTACTGTTATGTAAATGTTGCAATATTTTCTCCTAGTTTGTGACTTTCTCTTCCATTTATTACTAGTTTCTTTTGGAGAGCTGTTTTTAAGAAAATAATTGATAGAGTAGTCCAATTTGTTGATTATTTTCTTTTATAATTTGGGCTTTCTGTGTCCTACATAAGAAAACGTTGCAACACCCCGAGTCAAGTTGCAATACTGTAGTTTTCTTCTAGATATCTTACATTGAGATCTGTGGTTCATCTCCAGTTATTTTTTGTATACGGTATGATATAGAGTTTAAGATTATTTGGGATTTTTTTCATATGTTTAATCTTTTCAGCTCTATTTGTTAGAAAAATTATCCTATCCCCATCGAATTGCTTTGGTAACTTTGTCAAAAATCAATTAATTATATGTGTGAGTCCAATTCTGTACTCTCTGTTCTATTGATCCGTATATCTATGGGTCTTTTAGTGATTAACTTCGGCTTTTGTCTGGAAAACTCTTTGTCTCTCCTTCAATTCTGAAGGACAACTTTGCCATGTAGAATATTATTGGTTGGCAGGTTTTCTCTTTCAGCATTCTGAAAAATCATTCCACTCCCTCCTGGCTTGCAAAATTTCTGCTGAAAAATTCACTGATAGTCTTATGGGGATCCCCTTCAGTGTAACAAACTCCTTTTATCTTGCTACTTTTAGGATTCTCTCTTTGTCTTTTATATTTTCTCTTTGCTGAAATCCTCACTTTGTTCATGCATTGTTCTCTGACCTCAGTGAGCATCTTTATGACCATTATTTTGAACTCTCTATTGGGTAAATCACTTATCTCTATTTTATTAAGGTCAGTTACAGGTGATTTATCTTGTTCTTTTGTTTGGAACATATTTCCTTATTATTTTTTTTTTCATTTTCCTTGACTCTTTGTGTTGGTTTCTGCACATTAGATTAGACAACCACCTCTCCCAGTCTAGACAGACTGTCTCATCAGTCAGCCCAGCCCAAGCTCCTGGTTGTCTCTCAAACCTTTATGGTTGTCCAAGCTGCCATCTTTGTTCTTAGTGGCTCCCTAATTGAGGGTGTGCCAAGACCGGTCAGTGTTTCAAGGAAAAGGATAAAAGTCAGCACCTAGATGCAGGCTAACTAAAAGCTGTACCCTCAGGCAATAGATGGGAAAAGATATAGTTAAGCCCCTTGGAAGGAGAAATTGGAAGATGGGCATTATTGCCTGCTTCCTCTGCACTGAGCCCAGGTGGATAGCCATGACAGTGGGGGAGGGACAAGCAGGGTGCTTCTGCACCTGTTGAAAAGCTGCTTGTTTTGTTTGCTCTAGTCCTGTGGGACTTGTGAATGAAAGACCCACTGGCTATCAGAGCTACATGATTTGGGAACCCA